TGTCGGTTGGGCAGCCACTATCAGCCAAGCAGAATTGTCGTGCAAGGTGATCTTAAATCCCAGCGAGGGAGCCTGTCCTCACAGTCATGTAAAAAGCAAACCTTTAAGGGTAAATCTTCCCTGGTTTCTCTTATGCCCCTCCCCCTCCTACCTATTTGTGATCCGAGCCAAATTCCCCAAAGCTCTGACCTGACAAGAGTCAGCACAAATCACTGCTGCCCCCCAGAGGCCGACTGATTATTCTTCCCAGTGTGGCTCACAGTTCTCCCTCAGTGCTCTCCATCTGCATCCTCCATGGCTCCTGGGGCTGCAAAATCTCCTGGGCAGCTGTGAGCCCTCGGCTACGGGGCTTCGGTCACTTAGTCATCACACCCTGTGCAGGCACTGTTTCCAGGCTTGAGGACGGAGGAGCCTAAGTACCTTCATGCTAGCTTACTAGACACTTTAGCGGGAAGAGGCTGGATTCCTCCCCTCCTCAGCATCACTGGAAAGTACTGAGGATGCTGGGGAGGAGATGCCCCTGACATTACTTACATGATGCTAGGGTAGACCCAGGGTGCCTCCTCTATCACATCCTAGGGTGTGTCAAGTAGGTGTTGTTAGTATTCAGGTATCTGTACCGGCCTGTCCTTGGGGTTCTGACAGGATACGCCCTCAGCTGCAGCCACTAAGAGCACCACCTGTGCAATTCACCATGTTCCTTTTTAAAAGGGACCCGCCCACCTCCTTCCCCCACCTCTCTCTGCTTCTCTGCCTATCTCCCTGTCTTCCCACCCTTCTCTCTGCCTCCTATTTCTCTTCCACTGCTCCTGTCCCCAGAGGGCCGGTCTCCCCCCTCCCCTCCCTCCTTTTGCCATTCTCTTTCTCCTAATTAAAAGCAAAAACAAAAACAAAACAAAACAACCTCCACATGAGCTCTGTCACATAGCGTCTTTCTCTCTCATGCCGCTTTTTAAATCACAACAGGTGTGCTCTAGTGCATGCCTTGGCTACACAGTTGGATTGGGAGAGGTGGCATGTTCAGAGGCCAGGCAGGGTCTCCCACTGTGTGCTCCTGATAAGGCTGAGTTTACTCCTCTGTAGTGAATGACTAGGGTCAAGCTGGAGGCCCTTCTGCTTAGCTGTGACCTCACTTGCTGTGCAGCCTTTGGAAGATCCAATGTACACATGAGAAAGTGAGAGTGGAAAGGAAGGTATTTTAGAGTCATCCGAAGATAATTTTGTTCTTGTGGGTCACTTCGAGGACAGACGTTCCGCCCAAGAAGACTGTGTGGACATCAAAAGCCTCTATGGCTGATATACCACTGAATTGCCACTTGGTGGCAGCAGAGATCAACTAAACTCCGAGGCCTAGGTGTAGTAGCGCCTGGGGTCCCTGACACTTCTGTCTCTCAGTTCTCCATGCCTCTAGGTCCTGTCCTTTCCTTGGATTCCAGCCTCAATGGCTATCTGAATAATCTCAACACATTCTGCCTGTTTGGGCCTCACTGTTCCTCATCTGCTGATGTCCACACAGTCTTCTTTCACCTGCTGTCCCAATGTTCCGTAAATACTAAGGGCAGGAGTAGTGTGCGAACTGTAAAGTGCCCTGTGTGGAGGTGGTGGTGGGGTGCTCTGTTTTGTTTTTGTTTCTTCCTTCCTCTCCGAATCTGGGCTGTTTAGCTTTTGCCGGGAGGTTGACAAAGAGTCACTGTATCTGTGTTCCTAGTCTGGTCTGTGTGAAACCCTGAGAGCCGTAGCTGCTCCTTTGTGCCTTCAAGTGAACATCTTGTAAGCATGCTTGGAGTGGGGTAGGTGCAAACACTGAGCAAGTCCTTGCATGCTCAGGACACATGTCGGGTTATTAGTTCAGGCTCTAACTCCCATAATCCTCTCTGCCAAGCTAATGTCAGGATCCCAGAAGCATGTGATCCAGCAGTGGGATCGAGGGAGTCCCACGTCCAGAGAAGTATGGCTTCTGGCCTCTGACTGAACCTAGAGAGAGCCCACTACACTCATTTCCCCAGAGCACAGAGTGGGGCCAGAGAGAGTCCACTACGCTCATTTCCCCGGAGCACAGAGTGGGGCCAAACTGGGTTTGGCTCTCCCGGTTCAAAGAGCCATCTTGTACCCACTTGCCTCGGTACTCCGCAGCTCCTCAGCCTCTCACTGCCATGCCGAGCTGGCACCTGCATGCTTGTTATGGCTCTCGAGTCGTCAAACCACGTCCTCAGGTGTGCAGGGTGCAACCTGTCACCCCACCCCCAGCCCCCATTCTACCCAGTATCTGGGGAAATGTATAGGAATTCCACGTGACATAAATGTTAGCTCGAGATGGTTCCTTTCTTCCCTGGAGGAGACTTGGGGTTCTGGGGATGCAGGGAGAAGGATTCTCTAGGCAATCTCTGTTTTATCTTTTGGGTTCTGGAACAAATCTGCCTGTGACTTAGCCACCTGCAAAGGGCAGCAGTCGCATCCACTTGGACAATGTTCTGGGCCACTCTCATTTGCACAAGGGGAGTAATCATACACAGCTTTTAGTGGATACCACGGGGTCAACGTGAGGATCCAGCTCGCTGTCCTACAGATCACACAGCAAAACACTGTTTCTTCTCCTTTCTCCAGGGTGCTTCTCAGTAGAGTTCAGCCCTCCCCGTTCAGCCCATCTCACTCCAGGGGAGCCCTCTTGGAGTCTGCCTGCAGGAGTGAGTCTTATCTTACACAACTGCACAGACAAGCCAAGGGAAAGCACCGTTCTGGCAGGTGGTTTTGATGTGGCAACGAGCTTCAGTTTAAATGGCTCAGTTCCTCTCCTCTAGCAGTAGCTTGTGTTGCCCCAGTTGTTTTCTGAGATCATCCCAACCAGCAGCATCTTCCCCTGCCCGCGATCCCAATGAGGTGAGTGCAGACTGCAAACCACAGAGAATAGTGTGACTCAGAAAACCCAGGCAGGGGAAGCCACCAGGATTGCCAGCCGGCCACCCAGCCACCCAGCCACCCAGCCACCCAGCCAACCAGCCACCCAGCCAACCAGCCAGCCAGGGAGATGCAGAAGCCTCCGCTCCGCCTGGAGATGACCCAGAGCCAGGGAGAATGTAAGCGAGCCCCCAGCTGGAGCAAAGCTCTTTTGTTCACACAGTTCCCCAGTCGCTTATCACCATCCTGAAACCCAAACAGCTCAGCCAAATCAAGGTTGTTGTGACTCATTTGGCTGTAAACCTTGAGCACTCTGTGTGAATGTTTTTGGTTTTCACTGCTGAATATTGATGCATTTAATCACAGAATTTTGCTCCAGGCCCTGCTATGAGTGTTATGTAACGAGGGCACACAGATTGTGCATTAACTTTTGAAAGGGCTTAAAAGCTTGACATCTGAACCCTGTCTGACCCTTGCTCTCTGCATAAGCGGGTGTGCACTAGGGCTGTGGTGACCCGTTTGACCCTCAGGCTGTGGTCAGAGGACACAGAATGGAAATTGTACATGGACAGAAGATCAGAACAGGGAGGCAGGGTGTTGGGTTGGCAGGAAGAATCAGCTGGCCGTGGCTCTGCTCTAAGTTTCACCAGCTGAGGGACGGTGGGAACATCTCCAACCTAGAAAGCTTCCATGTTCATGCTTATAGAAAAAGAGATACTAGAAATAAGAAAGAAATCCTACCAATCCTGGGCAGCGGACTAAATAAGGCTGTCCCTCGCAGTCCAGTCAGAAACAATGCCCAATGCTAAGTACTCAACACTGATGATTGTTGTAAGTGTGTGGCTTACCAGACTTCCTAGAGATTTCCTGTGTATCACACTTCCGTAAATTTGGGAGGGGTGGGGAAAGGTGCCCTGTTTTCGGGGACCCACAGACTAGACAGTCAGGCATGACACACATACACACACTCCCTATTCAATGCAACTGTGCAGAGGCAGGAACCTAGTTCTGGAAGCTTCACACATGAAGACTGAACCCAGGGTTTCCCACATACCTCTGTGTCGGCAGGTAGAAGGGGAGAGGGCCTGAAGTCTTTTTCATCCTAGGTAGGCAGGTAGTGTAAACTGACCCTTGACCTGCCTAGGAGCATTGCAAAGACACACAATATTCTGGGTCCAATCTGTCCACCAGGAATGCATGATCCTGACTCTGTTCCTGGCATCAGGAAACCCATCATTCAGGGGCACCTGCTCCATGCTGCTCAGTGCTGGCACAGGGGTGGACAAACTGGATCCCTGGAGAGCTAGCATGTGACCCGGAGGGGCGGGCATTTCAAAGGATGTGAGCATTGTGGGACAGAGGTCAGGGTGGGCACTGGGGTGGGATATGGAGAGTGTTAGGGTGAGGGGAATGGCTACACCCACACTCTGCCAGCCATGCAGTGTGGTTTAAGAATTTCTGGGGACTTGCCAACTAGGCATTGTTGGCTGGCATGTGGTGGGCGCTCCCTGAGCAGCTTTGGGTAAACAGACTCTGTTGATCCACACTTCCTTGCTTCAAGCTCTAACCTGAAGGCCCTACTCCGAGACTCATCTCCAGACCTACTGCCAGCCCTTTGCACTCTTGTATAAGCCATGCCCACATTTACTTTTATTTTTAGGGGTGTGTACATGCACATCAGATCTCCTGGAGCTAGAGTTACAGATGGCTGTGAGCCTCCTGACTGGGCTGGGAACTGAACTCCTCCTCTGGATGAGCAGCAAGTCCTCCTAACCACTGATGCATCTTTGCAGCCCACACATCCTCAAGGAGTCTTTCAGCCCTTGGACTCACCAGACCATAATGGCCCTTCCCACTTTGGGTCCATAGTTTGTTTCAGGGGAACAAAAGCCCTTGGTGATTTGGGAGTACCCTGTGCCTCCCTCAGGCTGCTCTCAACGCTGCTCTTAGCCTCTGCTGCGGTCACCTTTCAGACTGTCCCCACACAGCCGCTCACCTACAGGCCTCTAGTTCTCCGCTCAGGCTCATGAGTGTGCTTATTACCCAGTCTCTGGCCCATTCCACCTGTGCGGAAGCTGGAAGCTTTGTGTGATCTGATCAGCAGAAATGAATAGACAATGAGAAGGCACTGGAGACAGCTTGCATTTTTCTTCCCTCAGAACAAAAGAGCACAACTGGCCGGGCATTGGTGGCGCACGCCTTTAATCCCAGCACTCGGGAGGCAGAGGCAGGCAGATCTCTGTGAGTTCGAGGCCAGCCTGGTGTCCAGATCGAGTGCCAGGATAGGCTCCAAATCTACACAGCTACACAGAGAAACCCTGTCTTGAAAAACCAAAAACCAAAAAAAAAAAAAAAAAAAAAAAAAAGCACAACTGGTTTCGATCTAGAATAGCTGAGTTTATTTTTTCATTGTAACAATTAAAGAGGAAGGGTTTTATAGATTTAATAAATAGAATAAATAATATATATTTATCTTGATGTTCGGCGTTTCGGCACTTTTGCCCTTGCTTTCTGAGACGTCTCCTGGAGACTCTTCAGAAAGGACAACGTATTGCCTGCTGTGGTTTGGTTGCATGGCTTCTCACAGGAGAAAAACTGCGGAGAGGGAAGAAGGCAAGACAGAGTGAGCCACTTCAGCAGTGCACACCTAGCAGCCCCAGGACCGTTGTCCCCAAGCCTTTGGGACAGGTTGATGGGCAGGAGAGAGAGGAGTGAGATGTGGAGAAAATAAGAAGGTGATCCTCAGCTAGCTAGTGTTTGGTAAGACTGTGTAGGGGTTAATCTGGGGTCAGGATTCCAGGAGTCTGCACACACACACATACACACACACACACACCACACACACACACACACCACCCACTCACGCACATACACACACACACACTCACACACACACACACCACACACACATACACACCACACACTAACACTCACACCACACACACACACCACACACTCACGCACATACACACACACACACTCACACCACACACTCACACATACACACCACACACTCACACACACTCACACACATACACACCACACACACACACACACCACACACTCACGCACATACACACACACACACTCACACCACACACTCACACATACACACCACACACTCACACACACTCACACACATACACACCACACACACACACTCACACATACACACCACACACTCACACTCACACTCACACACACTCATACACACACCACACATACTCACACTCACACACACACTCATACACCACACACACACACCACACACACTCACATACCACACACACACCACACACACACTCTCAGACACACACTCACACACACACACACACACACACACCACACACACACACACACACACACACACACACACTCACACACACACTCATACACCACATACACACACACACTTCCCTGAATGTCATTAGGGAAACTCTTTTCTTGGGATTCCCTGGGGACTAAACACCTGTACACTTGTTACCTTTTTTTTTCCTGCCCTTTCAAGGTCACTTTATAACACAGTAGTTCTGAGTGAGACTTTGGGTTCACATAGACCAGAGTTTAAGTCCCAACTTTGTCTCTTATTAAATACATTCACATCAGAAAAGAATAACTTTCCTGGCTATCATTGTCCTCTTTTAGCAGGGGTGACAGAGCTGAAACTGGTCCCCAAGGCAGGAGGCTAACCCTCACAGCACATGTGGCACAGCTAGGGCAGATGCCACTGTGGACGTAGATGTGACTAGCCTGGCCAACTACAACACTTTGCATGGCTGGTGCTTTCCTAGGAACACCCAGGCACAGGGATAAAGGACAGTGGCCTGCCACTGCCCCAGAAACCAGGGCACATGCTGATAGTGTGTAGAGTGGGTGACAAATACCTACCTAGTCTTTTTTTTTTTTAACAAACCTTTTGGGTCATTCAACAAACAAACAAAAACCCCTGATTTAGAGGCTACCACATCCCTGAGTAGTACGTTGAGTTCTTAAGTGGCTTCGTGCTGTCTGACTCTGTAGGGTACAGCCTTTGATACAACAGGGTGAATTCTTTCATTATTCAATAAGCAGATAGAAGACATTGGCTACATGGGTGGCAGTGGTTTCCATTTAATCAGGGGAACCACGGATCCCAGCAGAGACCCCAGTTCAGGGATCTCGTCTCTGGTTAAATTCCTTGCCAGCCCCTTCCAGCCTGGGACTGCTGACTCTAACTGCCATCCTTTCTCGTTGGCTCAGAGATGAGCAGATGGTGTTTGCTCCCAAGATTCTCAGCTAAGCTCTGACCCAAAGGCCCTACTCCTTCGGTGTCAGCATTCACTCAGAGATCAGCTGTCACATGCGAACACAAAACTCACCGGACACTTGTTGTTTTTTAAGCCTTCAACTGTCCTTTTCACCTGGAGGAAAGAGACTGAGAATCGTGTTTTCTGTGTGGCATTGGTCAGCTGTGACAGTCCCTCCTGGAAGCATGGCGTGGTACAATCGTCCTGTTAAATAATAAGGACTTATGAAAAGGGTTCATGAAAACTGTGTAGGACAGCCTTGAGAAAAAAAAAATAACCACCAAGAGAATTTTAAAGAGCAAACTTAATTGAACCAGTGTCACCCAAACTCATGCTATTTTAACATCTGTTCCTTGACACTCTAGGAAATGATCTTAAGTTATTTAAGCTGAGTCATTTTCTCAGCAACAACCCCAGAGCGGATTCTATCCAGGAAACAACCCCGGAGGAGATGCTATCCAGGAAATGTGGACTGGTGCCCTGCCTGGCAGAGGGGGTGCATCTGCCTTACGCCTGGTGGCCCCTGTCCGGGTTCAGTGGCTGCGAGTTTGAAAGTACAGAAAAGGAAAAGCTGTTCTCACCGGACTAAGAAAGGGCTCGTGCTTCAGACGAGCTAAAATCCTGCCCTGAGAAAGGAGGGAATAGGCTGGACCCTTCCCTAGCCAGACCCCGAAGGATGGGCATCTCCACAGGGTCCAAGCTCAGTGTCTGTCTCCCAGGCCCAGCCTGCAGGATGAGCCCCGCATGGCCACAGGTCTAGATGACTGCTCTCTCACCCTAACCAGGAGTTACCAGAGTCTCCCTGATCTCCCCTCACTGCCAGGGTGGCCGTTGCTCTCTTGGGGTCCCATTCAGTCCCCAGCACCAAACTTTGAGACTGTTCTCCCAGAGAACAGTTGGGACCATTTGAGAGCCACTAAAAACCAGCAGGGAGATGGAGGAAGAGGAAGAGGTGGGGGCAGGGAGGAGGAGGAGGAGGGGGGGAGCTGGAGAAAGAAGAGGCGTGTGTGATGTCTAGACAGTCCATGCCTGATGTTACTATTCTGTTTCACAAACCTGGAGTCACCAGCAGGTGAATCAGAAAGCAATTCCATTTCTTTTTCATTTTATACATGGCCACTTATCCCAGAAGATAGTTAATAATTTTTAGACTCTGAAGAAATTCAAATAGCTCAAGGGCCATGAAGCTAAGTTAAACATATGCATATGTATATAATGTATATATAAATATATAAGTTTTAAAGGTGGGGTCTATACTATTAACAGTTACACTTAAACAATAGCTTAAGCTTTAGAATGCCAAGTAAATTGCATTATTTTTCTTCAAAGTTTAAACAGCGTCCCAGTGATCTTTTTGGGCCATACTCACAGAGGGGATGGGAAGACACAAGCAACTGGTCACCTGCAAGAGAGAAAGCTCAGCATGAACACTGCAGCTATGAACATTAGGCCGGGTTGGGGAGGTTTTAAGAAGTCATTCACTCACATTGGTGCTGCAGCTGCACTTTGAGGATGGATCACCCTACAGCAGGCAAAGAGACGATAACCCAGAATGAGTGGAGCGCCCTTCCTCACCCTCCGGGATGGCTCACACAGTTACCAGCTCTCCCCAGCCCCAGACTGCTACCTGCAGATTGTCCATAAGGGAACTGGTGACCCTGATCACGAGCTCAGTGTTGCATTTCCAGTTGAGCACAGAACCAACAGAACTGAAGAGCAGGGCAGAGGCAAGGATGGAGGCCACAAACATCTTGGCAGGAGTCTGGAGCTCAGCCTACTGGCACCATCCAGGCTAGCCATATTTAAAGCTCTCCAAACCGGGAAAAACCCTGACATCAAACTGATACCTAGTGCCCACTTTTTCTCTGTAAGTTGAGGCCGACTGATATTGAAAAATAATCAGTCTGAGTCACTTGACAAAGACTGTGCCAGGAAATACCATTCCTCAGAAAAGATGCTTTTCAAACAGTTGGGTTCTGAAATGCTAAAGGAAAAGTTCGAAATCTCCCCCACCCCCTTTTAAAGGCAGGAATTCTAGTTGTGAGACTCAGAACACTTTCCATGAAAGCCAGGTCTGTGTTTTCCCCTTCACATTAGTGGAAACGCTGATAGACAGCAGTCGGGTGTGGTGTTGTGATGAAGGGGTCACGCTGGGGATATCAGGGGAAAGCAGGGCACCCATCTCACTCACTGGGGTTTTCCTCTGGCCACTGCAGCCTCAGTTTACTGTGCTTGGTAGCTCAGATCCTCACAGTCTGTCAGGCCTGGGAACATAGGCCTCCAAGAAGTGAGTGTATGAGGGGCTGTTCTCTGTAAGCTCAGGGATGCTGTAACTGTTCTTGCTAACATTGGCCTTGAGGATGCTTAGACTCTTATCAGACTGTGTGTGGCCCTGGGTAACATCAGTTAAAAATACAAAACAAACTCATTTCTACAACAGGCTACTGCCACCCAGTACCCAGAGCACTTTCAGCCTGTCAGCCCCATCCTAGGTGTTCCCTGGGAATCACGCCATCGGGTGAGACGGGTACTAGTTTTCATCCTCATTGCTACCCTTTCAGCCACCGCATACAACTTAGCTACCAGGTTCCCTAGTGTGGTTACGTCACAATAACGGCTAATGCGGCTGGTTATGCCGTCACCATGACTGGAGAGCAGAGTCTCTGTGGATCACTGATATAAATACTATATTTATCCTCAGTATTTCATACAGGGGAAACTGGGGCACAGAGGAGCAAGTAATTTGTCCAAAGTTATACAACTAGGAATCTGCACATTCTTTATTTTCTGGGGGGTGGGTGTTAGTTTTCAGGCATCTGCACTGGCCTGTCCTTGGGGTTCTGACAGGATTCGCCCTCAGCTGCAGCCACTAAGAGCACCACCTGTGCAATTCACTATGTTCCCTTTTAAAAGGGCCCCGCCCACCTCCTATCCTCTCCCTCTCCCCTGTCCTGTCTCCTGTCTCATCTCTCTTGCTGCTCCTGTTCCCAGAGGCTGGTCTCCTCCTCCCTTTTTCTGTTTTTATGATCCTTTTCCCTAATTAAAAAGAAAAGCTCTCATGTACTGCTTTTCTTAAATTACAACAGTGGGGAAATTGGACTCAGCTAGGCAAGTGTGCTGTACCAACAAGCTACACCTTCCCAGGCAAGTACACTGCTCTGCCAGGCTACACTTTCTTTGGTCCCCAAATGCATCTTTTAAAAAATCATTTCACAATTTATTTATTAAATATTATTACTGTGGTATGTGTATGCAGATCAGGAGACAATTTAGGGGACTCAGTTCTCTCCCTCTGCCTTGTCGCTGAGGCGGGGTCTCTTGTGTTTTTGCTGTGTTGTGTACTCCAGGTTAGCTGGCTTTCAAGTTTCTAGACACTTCTCCTGTCTCTTGTCCCACTGTAGGCATTCTGGGGTTACAGGTGAGCACTGTAGGCATTCTGGGGTTACAGGTGAGCACTGTAGGCATTCTGGGGTTACAGGTGAGCACTGTAGGCATTCTGGGGTTACAGGTGAGCACTGTAGGCATTCTGGGGTTACAGGTGAGCACTGTAGGCATTCTGGGGTTACAGGTGAGCACTATTGCATCATGATTTTTCACGTGGTTTCTGGGAATCGAGCCTGGATTGGCAGGCTTGCTGAGCTGGTGTTTTTTCCAGCTGAGCCACCTTGACAGCCCTCAGGTGTAACTCTTAATTGTTCTTCAGCAGCCCTGAGGGCTTCCCTGCCCTGCCCACACCTGTGCATATTCCTGAGTCTTCATGGTCTGGCTCTCCAGTCCAGTCTCCACACTGTGAAACCTTGAGACCCAAACTGACTAAATGCTTGTCAGTTGACTTCAACTGACATTAATTTGAAACATGTTTTTAAATGGAAAGGTATACATTTAAACCATGTTCCTGTGAGGCCTCAAAGCCAGTTATACTTAGAGGTAAGTTCAGGTAAGAAAATTTGCTGTTGGTCCAATCGGATCAGCAGGCAGGGGTCCTTTGGCTGAGCATGCCCACTGCAGTTGTCAGGGAGTCAGCTCCGTGCTTTATGCAGTGTGTTGTGAGAGCAGGTGGTTTTTATTAATTTTTATTAATTTTTCTCAGGAGAGAGGGGTATTGCCAGAATTTGGCTGCACAGTGGGAAAGAGGGCCATCTTGGAGGTCAACAAACTAAATTTCTCACTAAATTTTCCCCCCCATACACACACACAGCTTAGACCTACTGCATACTTCCCTTCTACAGACACTTGATGAGGCGGATGGCCTCCTAGCCTGTGGGAAACACTTTGTTCCTAAGTCTAAATCGGTACCTCTCTCGGGCAGGACCCAGGAGAGTGCAGTGTGGCGATACTGCCGTCAAAGACCTACTCATCCTCCCCACCCCAACTTTGCTGCTGTGTGAGCCATGGGTCTCATTTTAATCCTGGCTGCTGATACAATCTGGCAAGTTCTACCCTGACCCATAGTCCTTGGGTCACCTTCCTGCCACCACCCAGAAAAAGACTGGTGTAAAGATGGTGTCCATATTCACAGGCACTTCTTAGGCTGGTCATCTAACTTTTCCAGATCCAAGCAATCAGGGTGGAGGCATCATCCATTCCAGAAGGATATCACTGTTTGATTTGGAGCACACTGTCCAGCAGTTAACCACAGTTCTGTTTGGAAGTTTGGTCTGTTGTGGTCCAGTCTCACCGAGGGCTGACCTCCTCTTTCTGAGCATCCGCTGGATGGTTTCCAGTTTCTACCTCTGTGCCGTTATCCTTGCTAAGCTCTGCCTGGGACGCCCGTACTCAGCTGTCCCATACAGGGCCTTCTCTCATTCTCCGTGCTTTCCCTGACCAGATAATTACTGGAGATAGATGTACCTATCTCTCCTTAAAATTGATTCATAATAATTGTATGTATTCATGGGATACAGTATGCTGATATTTCAGTGCGTCTGTACAGTGTGTCCTTATTTACCAAGGCAGCTGCTTTTCATCTCCTTATCCCTTGTCTGTATTTGGAGCCTTTTTATTAAAAGATTTATTTATTTTTATTTTATCTATGTATTTTGTGCGCATATGTGTAAGTTTTCTACATGTGCTGTTCCCATGGAGGCCAAAGAGGGCATCAGATCTAGAACTGGAGTTACAGACGGTTGTGAGATGCCCTATAGGTGCTGGGAATCAAACTCAGGTCCTCTGCAAGAGCAGCCAGTGCTCTTAACCTCTGAGTCATCTCTCTATCCCCATATGAGGAACTTTCCGGGTTCTTGTGCTTTTGTGAACTATAACCTCCTACCGATATGCTATAGAGTGCCGGAGCTCGCTCCCTCCATCCAGCTGTGACTTGGTACCTACTACCCAACATCACTTAATCTCTCTTCTCCGCTCCCTCTCCTATGCTCCAGGAATTGTTGTACAGCTTTCATCTACTGTGAGAACAACAGTTCTGGTTTCCACCTGTGAGAGATCATTGCTTAGAAAGGACGAAGAATGTGGCTTATTCCACCATGATGTCTTCCAGTTGTGTCCACCCTGCCACAGATGATAGAGTTTCAGTTTTATGGTAGAACCACACTCCATTTCCTGGACACACACAATGTATTTTCTCCTATCTGTCGTGGACTTGCAGGTTGATCCTGCACCTGAGCTGTTATTATAGAGCCACGCCCTGCTTGCACCGCGCCTCTAGTCATTCCCTTTGGGTAGGACCAAAGTAGGGTTGCTGGATTCTTTGGATAATATGATTTTCACTTTTTGAAACCTTGACACTAAGAAATCTGTACTGATTGATCTACATTCCACCAGCAGTGCCTGCACCTTGCCAGCCAACATTTGCTATTTTTTATAATAGTTATTTTGAATTAGCTATCAAGTAAAAGAAATCAAAGGCATATAAGTAGGAAGAGAAGAAACAAAATTACCTGCTTGGAAATGGTGTAATACATAGATAAAACAAACAACAAACAGTAACCTCTGCAAACACCACCAAAAGACACAGATAAGGGGATTCAGTAAAACCGAAGGATATAAAATCTTCACAATCCAACATAAAAGCCAGCCATATTGTATACATTAGTAATGAACTAATTCAAAAGATATGGGAGGCATTCTGTCTGTTCACAACAGCAGCAAAATTAAAGCGAAAGAAGACAAGATAAATGCTTTGGGATAAGCCGGGTATGGGAGTGCAAGCCCATGGTCCCAGCTAATCAGGATGCTGAGGCAAGATGGGTAGAACCTGGGAATTCAAGGCCAGCAGCAAACAAAAGGCCTAGAAAGAAACTTAAGCAAAGAAATAACTAGTCCTATAATGAAAATTACGAAACACTGATAAAAGAAACTGAAGATGGTATGTGCACCCACAAGGGAAAGACCAAGAATGCTCACAGACTGGGAGAGTTAATATATTTAAAATGTCTATACTACCCAAAGTCGCTTATAGATTCAATGCAATTTCCACGCAGATACCAATGGCATTCTTATAGAAATAGGAAAAACAAAGTCTAAGTTTGTTAAGTGCTCAGTGATTATTGACTAAATAACTAACATGTCGCTCTTGTTAAAACTCATTGATCACTCATATTATTAAAATAACCAACGCACCATTCCCAGCAGATGGTCATTTAATGTTTTAAGCATTTGAGGAGTGAACAACTGATGAACAGTCGTCATGGTCCTCTGAGTCCTTGCTGTAGGGCTTGCGCTCATCCAGGCTGCACAAGGAAGGGCTGGGGGCGGGGACACCCATTCTGTAAAGAACGAAACAGAAAGAGGACA